TATTACTTCCACTGTGTCCTTTTACAAGCTGCCCCTTTTGTTTAGAATTCCTTGGCTAATTACAACTTTATTTACCATTTTCTTAAAAATTAATTTTATTTTTGATAAAGTAATAAATAGACATAGATTTTAAAAAATCCAATAGTGCTAAAAGGTTTATAACAACAAATAGCAGATCTTGGCACTGTGGCTTCCCTCCTCTCCACCTTTTAGAAGCAACCACTTCTGAGTATTTTAAGTGTTTCTTCTGTATTTATGTATTTACCTCCATCTTTCTAAATACCTTGCTTGTAATGCTATTTATTGACTTGTCAAGTTTAAATTTTACCTACTGAGTTCCTCTACCCTCATAATTTCAGTATATTGCTATAGGGGTGATAGTCTAAACATTTAAGAACTGGCACAGCATAGATACTGATTCAACACCGCAGTTTCCCCACATGGTGTATGTGGGCTAATTACTGGCCCTGATCTTTTTTTATCATTTTTGATATAATAATTTCAATTATCAGTATTTACATTATTATTATCATCATATAAATATTGTCTACTGCAGAAACAAATAACATCAATGATTATGTTACCTTGCTTACACAATTTTTATTTTCTAGAACTCACTAACTGATGTGTTAAAAAATCATTTTGTCCTCATTAAAAACTCCCCCAATCCTCATCTTCTCTCTCAAGTCTTTGCAGCTAAGTAGAGCTGACTCTCCATCCTGTGTCACCTCTGCTGTTGTCTTTACTATACTACACCTTAAAGATCTGTGTGTCTACCTTCCTTACCAGAATGTGAGCTCCTTAAGGTCAGTGATAGTATCTGTTACCTTTGAGCCTTCGGTGTCTTGTATCACAGTACTCAATAATATTTGTTGAATTATGGATGGAACAGGAATGCCTTTCCTCTTTGAAGCAGCCTTCAGTATTGACTAAATGGTTTTGTGAGCGTTTCTGTGATTCCCGAGTTGCTCCGTACAGATCACAAATTGAAATTCCTGTCAGGGTCTAGGCAGGTCAAGTAAATGAGCGCAGCAAGCCTGATGGTCTGGGGCATTCAAGGGGTCACCTGCTGCTTAGCTGTGCCCAGTTGTTGCCAGGAAGCTGTTTCACACCATGTTGCCAGAATTTCTGCTCTTTCAGTGGAAGCAGAAAAATCCAGGTTTAATATGAGCTGTCATGATTCAATTTTTTAAAACCATGCAGATCAAGAAAATGGTTCTTCAGGCTGGATTTGGTTCACGGCCACCAGGTTGTGACTATAACCTGAAGTTTGTGGGTGGGGAGAATAGCGCATGCTACCCCAGTGCCTTGGTTTGCCTGAGAGAGCCTCCTCCCTAGGGTTCCAGTCCAGCGCGCTCCCCAGGGGCATCCCTTCACCAGCTAATGCCCACATGTGGAGTGATTCATAGTGGAACAGAGTCTGGGCGCAGGCACTAGCCAGCCAGAGTGCTTGAAGGCCCTGGGCAGGGGTTCAGGGCAATCAGGACTCCCTCTGTTAGGTGGAAGGGGAGAATGATGGGTTAAATGATAAGTGATAGAAAGGAGTGTGAGTGGACTTAAAATTGTATACTAGGTGTCAAGCCACATGCTTTTTCGTGTTACCTAATTTTATTTTCACAATATCCTTTTGAATGATATATTGTCATCCCCAGTTTGTGGATATGGAATCTCTGTAAGATTTAGAGTGTTTTGTAAAATTCTCACTGTTAGAACAGAGTAACTCCGGAATTAAGTCCTCCTGATTCTGCCAATGGAGAAAGCTCATGTATGGGAATTTAAAAATGAATTAAACCTATTTTATAATAATAAAGAAACTGATTGAGATTTTCCACTAGAAATAGATACTAAGATTTTTTAAATCTGAAAGTTGTTTTGTTCTTTTACAGACTGATTTGTTCATTTTTTCAACATTTGTGTTCTGTGTTAGTTACCAGGATTACAAAGATGAGTGAATATATAGTCAGTGTGCTTGGAAAGCCCAAAATGATTATATGTTTCTGGTTTATTATAAGTGTGAAAGGAGAGTGGCAGATGTTGGGATAAAAGATACGAAAAATCTAGAAATGTGGTGGCCAAATTGTGCGTGTGTATTTTTTTTAACCAAAATACTGATATATATTTTTTAAGATTTTTTTGTATTTATTTGACAGAGATCCCAAATAGGCAGAGAAGCAGGCAGAGAGGGTCGGGGGAAGCAGGCTCCTTGCTGAACAGAGATCCCAATGTGGGGCTCGATCCCAGGACCCTGAGATCATGACCTAAGCCAAAGCAGAGGCTTAACCCACTGAACCACCCAGGTGCCCCTGATACTTGTTTTCTTTTTTAAATTTTTATTTATTCTTTAAATTTCTTTCCAGTGTTCCAGAACTCATTGTTTGTGCACCACACCCAATGCTCCATGCAATACGTGCCCTCCTTAACACCCACCATCAGACTCACCACCCCCCCAAAACCCTCAGATTGTTTTTCAGAGTCCATAGTCTCTCATGGTTCATCTTCCCCTCCAATTTTCCCCAACTCCATTCTCCTCTCTGTCTCCCCATGTCCTCCGTGTTATTCCTTACACTCTACAAATAAGTGAAAGCATATGATAATTGACTCTCTCTGGTTGACTTATTTCACTCAGCATAATCTCTTCCAGTCCTGTCCATGTTGATACAAAAGTTGGGTATTCATCCTTTCTGATGGAGGCATAATACTCCATAGTGTATATGGACCACATCTTCTTTATTCATTCCTCTGTTGAAGAACCAAGAACCAAGCATCTTGGTTCTTTCCACAGTTTGGCAACTGTGGCCATTGCTGCTACAAACATTGGGGTACAGATGGCCTTTCTTTTCACTACCTCTGTATCTTTGGGGTAAATTTCAATTGGGAAGACATTCCCTTTTTTTATTGTTGCAACAAATAAAATACGCTACTAGAAAATTAGAAAGTGCAAATAAGGAAAATTAAGATAAAAGTCTCCTAACCAATGTGAACAACTCTCTATCTACTTATTTATCCAACTTTTTGATTATCTATCTATATGGGCCTATTTTATACTATTATCACACACTGATGCAGACAAACACACAAATCCCACTACATTATTATTCTATAGTCTCTCTCTCTTAGGAATATATCAAAATGTTCTATTACTGTTTGAATTATGCTCGAATAACATTTTGTTGCATGAAAATAGTTCCATGTATTTAGTCAACTGTATCTTTATAGATACTTAGGGAATTTCCAATTTTTTAGAACCTGTGTCATGTAGAGAATTTTTCAGTTACATCTTTTTATGTATCTTGGATTATTTCTTTCTGAATAATTACTAGAAATGAAATAACTGCATTTTTTTTATATTTCTGCTTTTAGCACATACAGTACAAATTTGTCCTCCAGTAAAGAAGTGCTAATTTACCCAACATCAGTGGATTTGAGTTTCTATTTCTATTCACTGTTTCCAATGTTAGTTACCACCTTTTTAAAATTTTTTTTGAACCTTTCCTAATTAGATAGCTAGCAAAGAGTCTCCATATTGAAAAATTCTTTTTGAAAACTCTTTTGGCCTTTGTACTTGCCAGATACTATTGTTTTCTAGCGCAACAGTCTCACTTCGTGTTACAGCTAATTGGTTAGCTGATTGCCTGTCTTACTAGCTTCGGAGCGCTTTGAGGGTAGAGTCTGTCCTGTCCACCTGTGTTTTTCTGGAAGCTCATGGATGTTTGTTGAACTGAGCTGAATTAGAGAACATGCATAGTTTAGAAACCATTGGTTAGATGGATAAATGTCAATATACCCAGTGGGCAAGTTATCCGATTCCTGCCAGGTACATAATAATGAGTAATTTAAGTGAGCATTGATTACATGCCAACAACGTGTTGTTTTGTATACTTACCTGATTGAATCCTCACAGTAATGCTCTGAAGAGGAGATGATAATTATCTCCATTTTGCCAATGAGGAAATTGAGAGGTTATGAAATTGGCGCAGGGTACATGACTGTAAAGTGGCAAAAACAGGTCATGAACTCAGGTCTAGCTAACTCCCAAGCCATCTAATCTCTCCCCATCTGCCCTCCCTTACCTTCTCCTGCCCTCTCCAACTTCTTATTATGTGGCCAATCTTGTCACATCTGTAAGTGTCTCTCAGCATCTTGTACCCATCGCCCCTTGTTGGATTATTTTAAAGTAAATCTTGGATACATTAATTTCATTAATAAATATTTAAATTTATATCTTTAAGACATATGGACTCTGTTTTTTATCCTGAACCACAATATGATTATCACCCTTAAAACTATCTGTAGTAATTCCTTAATATTATCCAATGTCTAGTCAGGGCCAAATTTCTCAGATTAGCTCATTAGCTCATGAGCTCATTAGCTCATTAGTGACTTTTTACAGTTGGTTTTCTTGAATCAGGTCCACACAAGAACTACCCATTGTATTTTAAACTGTTCTAACCACCATACAGTATTCCTCTCTCCACCATCCTTTCCATGAGGTCTGTCCTTCTCAGCAACAGGAGTACCCAGCTGAGGGAAGGTGCAATTTTCAAACAGTTTCCACAAATTGAATATCTAGTTCACATATCTCAAGAAGGAAGTACAAACAATAGTTAATACTTGAGAAACATCGAATCTGTATGGAATGGAGAGGGTACATGTCCTCCATTCTCCGTGCATCTGTGCAGCAGCTGAGAACCCTTTTATTCCTCTGCTTCTATGATGTCTTCATCATAAACTATGGCCAAGTCTCTTCACTCAAGATGCATAGTTACATGTAAGTGATGTTGGCTTGAAAATTCTGTCCTTGTCCGTGAGGGTAAAAAAATTAGACTTGCTGGTCTATGTACCCACTCCCACCCCAGGCCCCTTGCTGTGGGAGAATGCCTTGGAAATGAAAGTCACAGGCTTGTTATTTTCATAAATGGGTCATGACTTTGGTAGAGTACTTTGCATTAAGGAAATTTTCAAGTTTTCATGCTTGTTTTGGTTCTGTTTTGAACTTGAAGGTCTAGTGATCCTCCACTGTGTTGTGGCAGATGGGAATTCAACCAGGAGTCCGGAAAAGGATGGCCTTCTCTGTCGAGATCCTGGGGAAAACTGCGCAGGTAATGCTTAACAAGTGATGCATTTGTATTTTATCAGCCTCATGTTCAATCTTGGAAAGCTGATTTCCCTAATTTTAATTTTTAATACTCATGTAATCATAAAACTAGGTAGTTTTTTGAGCACATACGAATGTCCCAGGCTCTCTGCCAAGTGCTGTATGTATAGTAATGCTTTCATTCCTCACGAGGGTCCTCTGAGCTGGACAGTATTTTTGACCTTATTTCAAAGTGAAGCCCAGAAAGATTAAGTAACTTGCCAAAAGTCACAGAGCAGGTAAATTGCAAATCTGGGATTCACATCCAGGTCTTTCTGATTCCAGAGCTTCCATTTTTAATAATTACACTATTTTAGGTGTTGCAGGTGTGTCCTCCAGACTCTACATGGAATATCTTGGAATAGATTCATAAAAAGTTGGCATATTCTATTCAAATTATTTTTTTTCTATTCCACAATTTAAAAGAAGGGAAAAAGGCAATGACTTTTACATATTTTTTACCTTAGAGATGCTTGATTCAGTATTCTCAAAGCTATTAGTCCAAAGAAAGAATGAGCCTTGCTAAGAGATCAAATAATAAGTATTTTAGGTCTTGTGGGCCATGCAGCCTTTTTACAGCTACTCAGCTTGGCCATTGTATTGTGAAAGTAGCCATGGACACACTGCAAATGAACAACTTTAGATCTATTTTAATAAAACTTTATTTAGAGAAATAGGCTGTGGGCCAGATTTGGCCATTGGACCATAGTTTGATGACCCTTAGTCTGTCCTTTTTATAGACTGAATGGTCTGGTCTTCTGGGGTTGTTTCTGTTTTAAAATAAAACATAGGCCAATTCTAAAAGTAGGTTGGAGAGAGCCTCCTGTATTGCCTGGAAACTTTTTGGAGCTGGGAGGGTAGTGACTTGGTGTTAAGTGCTCCTTTCCTAGCACCCTGGAGAAGTCATAACTGAGCCAGGAACATACTGAGCAAGTTGTCCTGTTGTGAGTCATCAGTTCCAGCCCAATCTTCCTCTTTCTTTCCTCATACTAGTAGGTGGTCTGGAAAGTGCCCACATGCTGTGAAATCCATTGGCATCTTAGGTCATGCTTGTGTGGGTCTTGTCACTCATGTAGAGAGAAGAACAAAGCCAATTTTATCTTCAGTTGAGTTTTAAATAGCTTCAATGATGGCATTTTCACATTTCTTTTGGGAGATTATTCTGTCATCCAGTGATTGAGAGTATTAAAAAACCTGCCTCATCATTATCTTACATGTGTTGTCTATTTTTTTTTAATTTAGTAAGAATATTTATATATGAGATCTACATTTTTAACAAAATTTGAAGTGTACAGTATAAGATTGTTAACTATAGGCAGGATGCTGTACAGTATATCTCTTGAAATTATTCATCTTGCATAACCCAAACTTTGTACGCATTAAACAGCGACTCCTCATTCCCCTCACACCTCCACCCTCCCTCCTCCCCAGCCCCTGGAAACCACCATTCTGCTCTCAGCTTCTGTGGATTTGGCTATTTAAATACCTTTTATAAGAATCATGTATTTGTTTTTCTATAACTGGCTTACTTACCTTAGCATAATGCTCCCAAGGTCCATCTGTGTTGTTGCAGATGGCAAGAATTTCTGCTTTTTAAAGGCTGAATAATATTCCACTATTTGCATAAACCACATTCATTCATATTTTGATAGATATTTAGGTTGTTTCCACATCTTGACTGTTGTGTATAGTGCTGCAATAAACATGGGAGTATGAGTATCTCTTTGAGATTCTAATTTCAAAATTTTTGGTTAAATACCCAGAGGTTGGAATGCTGGATCATATGGTAGTTCTGTTTATCAGTATTTTTTTTCTCTCAGAAAACTCTGTAGTATTTCCCATAGCAGCTATAGGTTGCCTTTTCAGTCTATTAATTGTTTCTTTGCCGTGCAGAAGATTGTTGGCTTGTTTAAAGTCATGTAGCAAGTGGGGTAGCCTACCACAAATTTGAAGAGATCGGGTCTAGAATGTATAATTGTTAATCACCATGCTAAACTGCTGGAATCATGTGGGAAGATCACAATGCTGAATATGCAAAGAAAATTCTGGAAAATAATCCTTGAAAGTAAAGTCCGAAAGGAAAAAACTGTTCTTGAAAAGGAATTAATGTGGAGCAGGAGCATAGTGTCTTTATTGTCTGTGTGACCTTGGGCAAGTCACTTAAGCTTTGAGACATCCGTTTGCAACCTGGAAAATTAAGAAATGAATCAGATGATCTTTAGGAGTTGTTCTCGTTTCTAAATGATTTTATAATTTTATTTACAAATAGCCCCAATCTCTAAGCATTTCATTTTTATTTTGTCCTTTTCTGTCTTGAGGAAGGAAAGTATTCATTCCTACCAAAGCTTTTGTGTACCAGCAATGCAGCAGACCCTCTTCTAGGTACCCTAAATGCAATAAGGAACAACATGGTCAAGGATGAGGTCTTAGAGGTAATGGGGAAAGAGAGGTAAAGGGTAATGTCATGGAGAGCCTTGCTGGGGATTATAAAACCTTCAGCTCTGAGTTTTAATAACATTACTCAGTGTCTGTGAGCAGATGAGACAGTTAAGCAGGGACAGACAGAAGCAGGGAGACTAGTTAGAAATTGTTGCCATGGAGACTACTTCTGGTCTAGAGATAAATGTCACACTTAGACCAAGGGAGTAGAGATGGAAGGAAAAGTGAATATATTTTAAGTACAACCAATGGAATTTTCTGACGAATTGGATGTAGAGTAAAAGAGAAAGACATCGAAGTGACTCTAAGATATGTGGCCTGAATCATAGAAAGAAAGTAGGTTTTGTTTTAAGATGAGGAAAGACTAGATACGAGGGGGGAAATCAGGTGTTCCATTTGGGTAGTGTCAATTTCAAATGTCAGTTAGACAACCAAGTGGAGATATTCGTTGTGCTGTTGGACACTAAAGGAAGACATCTGGGATAGAAACATAAATTTGGGATTGTTACCATAAAGGCATTCAAAGCCAGGAAATGCTCAAAAAGGGAGTGTAAAGAGAAGAGATGAGAAAGCACTGAGTCCCAAAGCATTGTAAAATTTAGATTCTGGGGGATATGGGAGAACCAGCAAAGGAGACCAAGCAAAGGAGGCATTATATACACCAGAATCCCATAACACGCACTCTCAAAAAAACAAAAGAAATGCAAGTTTTCTTCCTGTCCAGTTTTCTTTATGTGCCCCCCAGCTGAATAATTTTAAATGTGCAAATACACTCACACACCAACACTAAGTTATTTTTTTCTTCCTTTAAAGGGATAGAATGAGAAAGGGCAGCTCTAAGCGAAGGCCCTCCCCTGGAGGCGGAGAAATCCTTGGCCCAGCCCTCCTGGTTAAAAGACATGCCGATCTCTTCTGATTAACCCCCTTCATAAGCATATTCTAGTAACACTGGAAGGTTAACAAATACATCTGTGAGACTTTTTTTTCTTTACCTGGAGTCACCAACTCTTGCATTTCTGTGGAAAATGGCATCGGATGCAACACAAATAGGAGTCCTCAGATAAGAGAGATTTTCAAATTTTGTACTTCTTCAAAGGCAGAATGAATTTATATTCCCCTGTCTCCAGGAGATAGTTGGCAAGATAAGAAGGAAAATTAACTTAGAAAATATAAAACTTTCTTCCTCACCTCCAGGCTTAAGAAGGTTGCAAAGGGAGGAAATCCCTATTGGGAAGTTGCCAGGAAGTCAAGGACTAGAAGATTAAAGGCTTAGCCTCTACTTCATAGACTAGGAAGATACGTCTCTGCAAACTTAAACTTTTCTGTCCACTAGCTGCTCCTTTTTTAAGGTCGAGTATCTACTGGGGAGGGGGGAAGAAAAATGTATAGGTATTTTTTTTACCCCCTTTCTCTCATTGTTAACACTGATGGGAATTTTATCTCAAAATTTAGGCCCTCCTTTTAAATCTCTTGCACAGAGATTTAACTGCATATTTACCTAGGGGGTTAGAGATACTATATGGTTATCACACTGTAATGAGAATTACATAAAATATATTACCCTTGAAGCTGATTTTAGAAAAGCTGATGATATTGATATAATTTATAAAATCATTAAATAGATTTATAATGAGCACACCTGGAAGAACTAAGTTTTATGAAAAGTAAAGCTAATGTATCAATTCTGAGGAGTTTCAAACATAAAGCATCACAAGGCCTGATTGGGTTTGAGAATAAGAATTGTCTCCAAGAAAGATCAAGCAACTGTGTGGTTTAATCAAAGTATCCATCAAAATGAGAAAGATTCCATCCCTAAACTACGTCATTTTATTGTGTGCGCTATTCCTCCACTGAAGTTTGACCCAAGACGAATCTATCACATCTCATCTAAATGTTCATATGACCCAAGGAAGGCAACCACTTCTTGTCTATCTGCCCATATGATGGAAAAAAAAAGATGTTCTTACGTAGAATTAGATATTGTCATACACCTACCTGCAGGAACCCTCATAGTTTCTTACTTAATTGGCTTTAGAGTCTTTGGAATTTGGCATCCCAAGAAGAGACCGAGGTAGGTTACCTGCGGCGCCCAGCCGCTTGAGAGTTTGTGCTGACGTTTTTCAGTATGTGGGACCGACTTACTCCCATAGAATGTTTTGGTTTTGGAAACGTGGGTTGGAAAAGAATAAGGTGGGAGGGAAGAAAGATCAATTAGTTTCTACACCTCCAGTAGGAGGGGAGTTTTCACATTAGGTTTTCAAGACCAGGTCATTTGCTTCTCAACAAAGAAACACAATACATGGGACGAATCATTCTTTTGTCATAGGATTAACTTCTTGATAAACATCTCTGCAGTGGAAGGGTAGGCCTTGCCATACCTTGCTCAATGTCATCAGGTCTCACAATAGGCAGAAAATGTTAGATTTCACAGTTGTTCAATTTTCAGATAATGTGACCTTGATGAGTAACAGATGAAGGCACCTGGAATTGAGGGGGCCTTTTGAAAGGGGTATGCTGATAAGACTTCTCATTTCCATCAGAGAGAAACGATGATCCCATCTGTTTGGGGAGGTGGGGGGAGGGCCGTGCCGTATGTGCGATGTAGTTTTCTCCAGTTTTTAAAGTTCCATAGAGAAATCACTGGACGTTTTCTGCTTGGTAGTGTGGAAGGGTTTTTAAACCCGAATAATGCTGGGATATTTAAGATCGTGTTTATTTGGCAAAGGAGAGAGCTCTGTGAATAATTCAGACAGGGCCTGGCAACCATTTCCCTGGCCTGGGTCTGTGCTGCTTGGATGGGCTGAGGCCGGTCAGGTCACTGCACCCAGCAGCTGCTGGTCAAGGCACTTTTTGGTATCTTGCTGAGTATGGGGTTTACTAAAAGGCTGGCTGCATTTAAAGGAGCATAACAACTAGAGGAAGTAGTAAAGCTCAGGATACAGAGCCACATAGCTTAAGCTTAATGTCAGGTTTGCGTTGCAAAGAAGGAAGGACCTTTCTGGACCACAGCAGATCTATCACTAAGTCTTACTGCTTCTTAAATTCATCTCCTAGACCTCCATGCCCCTGCTGCAGGCCCACGTCACATGTTTGCATGGCTCAGGCAGTGGTTTTCTCCTTGCTCCCAGCCTCTTCCTTACTCTAATCCAATCTTCAGCTTCCTACTAATACACTGATACAATGCTAAACTCAAAAAGCGTAGTTCTTACATATACCATTTAATTTAATCTATAAGAACCTTCTTCAGCTCTCCCCTGTCTTGTATTTAAAGTGTAAACACCTCAGCCTAGTGACGTTTGAGGTCTCTAACTTCCATTCACAGCTGTCCTCAGCTGTTCCCCACCAGGTCCCCTACATCTCCATTAAATCTGCCTCCTCCCTGCTGCGGTATCAGGCTTGCGTATTCCTGACTCTGAGCTTTTGTTTCCAACATTCTCCACAAGTGCACAGCTTGCTTACCTCCTCCTAAAAAAGCAATCCATATTTTCCAGAATTTTTTCTTTTATTAGATAAACACTCTTTGTAATGATCCATGTTCTCTTAGAATTGCCAAGATTTTCAAGATTCTAGAATCAACTCAGTTACAGAGGACTTGATTGTCTGGGGTCCTCTGCTGGGAAGTTCTGCATGAGTTCATTTTCTAGATCCACAACAGCCCTCCATGGTAGATGGTATCATCTTCAGTGTCCAGGTGGGGAAACTGAGGCTCAGACAACTTCATAAGCTTACCCAGAGACGAGATAGGCTTTACTCTTTTGATGTTTTCCAGGGCTTACTACAGGGCTCTGGAAATAGAAAGTACGAATGGAAGTTGACTGATAAGTTTATTTGCCAAAACATACAGATCTTTGTTTTTGAGACACTTTGCAGTTATTTCTGGAAGAAATTTCAGTAAGAGTCCCATTGACTGGCATGTGTGGGAGCAAATGTCTGGCATGCACAAGCTGTCAGCATAGCTGGTAACCAAGTCACCAACCAAAACCAGGTCAGCCAGTTCCTCAGCAACATTCTGCCACCCCCTGAAACTTTGTGACCTGGCATCACAGGAATTTGCTGGTTATAGCTCATTCAAAGTTCTTGGCAATTCCTCTTCCTGGTGGCCCTGGGCAATTATATGTACTCATTTTATCATATTAATTAAGAAGTTTTAGGAGTCGTTACTATGAATGTCATCGGGATGCCAGGTGCCATACCAAACCTTGTGTGAAATGACCTTCTGAAGTGAACATCGTGGTCTTTCTGGCTCCACAGGTGTCCGAGTCCTGTATGCTGCTGGTCACACCATGACCAGTCCAACCCTGGGTCAGAGCTGGCTTGTTGGCTGTAGTCTCTGGGTGTGGACACGTGTCTGGTGTGGATCAGCTCATGGGCCACAAGTCACTATCTCTGTACCATTTCTCTTGTCAATCCTTATCTATTAAAACCTTCTACATGTAAGCAAGGGAGAAACTGTTACATATTACTGTCCCTGTTTAAAACATTAGGCAAGGAAAACTCTAAAAGGTAAGACAAGGAATTTGGAGCAGGATCAAATCCTTCAAACGAAGCTTCCAGTATTTTCCTCTTTCTTCAGAGCAAGAGAAATCATTCAGGGGTTAAATGAGGGAGAATCTCTCATTCAGGCAAGCGTGACTTCTGGGTGCATCAGGCTGAGAGCACATGACAGCTACCTGCTGAACAGCTGGCTTGGCTGAACGCCAGAGTCGGGCGGTCATGGACTCTGGGGCAAGACCCACTGCATCTGGGTCTCGCTTCTGCCACTTAACTTGCGTGTGATCTTAGAAGGTTTCTTAGCCTTCATGTGTTGTTCTTTGTTCATTTGTTAATGCGAGATTAGAATGATGCTTACCTCACAAGGCTGTTATAAGCATTAAGTTAACATATATATATTATTATATAATTTATATTGTTATATGCATTGTTAATTTATATATATATATATGAAATTATATTATACTTACCAAGCTGGACACGGGTTATATATATAACTAGCGTCCAGCTTGGTAAGTGCTATGTGCATGTTTAAGGAAAAAAAGGAATGGAAAGGAAAGGGAAGGGAAGGAAAGGAAAGGGAAGGGTGAAGAGGGGAGAGGAGAGGAGGGGAGAGGAGATTAAAAAAAAAAAGGTCATTTTTTTTAAATGAAAAAAAAAAAAAGTCTCTCGTAGCCTTCTCTCATCGCAACTATGCTTTACCCTTTAAGCAACGCCTAGGTTTCTGAGAGGTAGGCAGGACATAAATCTTAATTAAAATATGCAACATTCCCACCAAGATCCCCAAGACCCTATCTCTAGAGCTATTTGGGGACCACAAAAGTCTGGCTTGTATCCCAACGTGGAGAGAAGGAGAACCAAGAAATTGGAGTCCATTCAACAGAAAAACCTCCGCAAAGAGGGGAATGGGATTCTCGACGCAGATGTGTCTGGGAAGCGAGTTGACTGACGGGGCTTTTTCTCACTCGGCAGCTACCACCACGCAGTGGAAGCGGAGAGGCCACTTCGCGCGGTGCCCCAAGCAGTACAAGCACTACTGCATCAAAGGGCGATGTCGCTTCGTGGTGGCCGAGCAGACGCCGTCGTGCGTGTAAGTGGAGCGCAGCTGCCGGCAGGCAGAGGCCGCGCCACCGCGCGGGCCGGGGGCGTGCGGGGACAGGGGAGGCTGAGCCCCCGAGCCCTGGGTCGGGACCCCTTTCCCCGCTCCTGGCCGGCACCCCAGCCCCCGCCACGTGCTTTGGGCCCCTTTGGGCGGCTTCTCAGGGAGGAACTGGCGGGCGCTTTCCTCCTGAAACAGAGCCCGGATCGGCTCCCAGTCCGTGTCCAGGCAGAACCCTCTGCGCAGTGTGGACGTGCTTTTAGCCTGCATTCCTCGCCCAGGTGGTCGGGTGGCTGCGAATTCTTCTGGCGTGTGTGAGGTAGTTCGGAGTTAACGTAAATACGAAGGATTTTTCTGCCAGATGAAAAGCTACTTTTGTAGGTGTCCATTCAGTGCCAGGAAACGAGCCTGTTTGTAAGCAGACATTTGCAAAGGGGACTGGAAGGAAAGTGCTCGCTCCCCCTCTTAGGAGATTGAGGCCAAGTTTAACTTGATTCAGGCACAAACAACTTTTTTGAAAAAAAAAAAATTATTTTACTCTAAAGAGATGTCCCTCTAAGTGTTTTTTGAGACCTCTCCTGATGGATGAGCAAGGTGATTTTTTAAGTATAATATTGACGTAAGTCATAGAATGTTTATGTTTTTATGTGGATTTCCTACAGTATATATTTTTTTTTTCATAAGTGTCTCAGAACAGAGATTCCAAACCCTAATTTAGTGAAACATTTAAGGGTCATGGACTCCATCGAAATTTAATTAAAATTAAATTTAATTAAAAAGTAAATACACTGGTTGATACTGACAGGGGGATAAGAACTGCTAATGTAAGGAAATTTAAAAAAAATGTGTGTGTGTGTGTGTGTGTGTGTGTTGGGAAAGAAGAGAGCTGCTTTCTTTCTTTCTTTCTTTCTTTTTTAATTTCCTCTAATTGCTCACTGGCTTAAGAGACTATATTGAGTTTTAAAAAATATTTATTTTTATTTCTTATTTTATTTCCTTTAGAGAGAGAGGGTATGCATGCTCACACAAGCATGGCTCTTGGTGGCGGGGGAGGGTAGAGTTGAGAATCTTAAGCAGGCTCCACACCCAGTGCAGAACCCTACCTGGGGCTGGATCTCAAAACCCTGAGATCGAGACCTCAACGGTAATCAAGAGTTGGACCCTTAAACGACTGAGCCACCCAGGTGTCCCAAGTTTTAAAAATATTAATGAACAAATAGCATGGAGGACAAGGGGAGATGGAGAGGAGAAGGGAGTTGAGGGAAATTGGAAGGGGAGGTGAACCATGAGAGACTATGGACTCTGAAAAACAATCTGAGGGTTTTGAAGGGGTGGGGGGTGGGAGGTTGGGGGAACCAGGTGGTGGGTATTAGAGAGGGCACGGATTGCATGGAGCACTGGGTGTGGTGCAAAAACAAGGAATACTGTTATGCTGAAAATAAATAAAAAATTTAAAAAAATATATTAATGCTCTTTAACACAGTATATTTTTCCAACTTATCCCTAGGTCTGCAGATTTATTGTTCTTTAATATTCCTTCGTTCTAAAATGAAAACCACAATGTGTAATCTACCCGCCCAAGATCAAAACACAGCTCATATCCTTCAGTGTGAGGTTAAAACTCATTTCCATGGCCTCTGCAAGCTCCTCTTGATCCTGGCTCACCTTCCTAGCCATATCTCTCACTGTATGCCCAAATGTTCCTCTGAAATCCTACATTCCTTTTCATGCTTTATCACACAAGCTCCCACAGTCTGGAGAGCTTATCATTACTGATGTTTTAGGTGTAACTCGGACATCAGCTCCTCCTGGACCCCAGCTTTGGCATTGACTTTCCTTTCTCAGACACATACTCAGGTGTGTTAGATGTCCTTTCTCTGAGATCCAATCACCCTCCTATGAAAACTCTTTTCCTCTGGAGCATGGCTGTTGGTTTCCTTGAGGGTCTCTTCTGAGTCTGTGAGCACCTAAAGGTGGGTCTTGTGGCTTATTCATTTTTTGTGTTCCAGGGCCAAGCGCAGGGCCAGAATTTAATAGGTGTTCAGGAAATGACCAGTGAATAAATAAATAAGTCCCTTTAGCATGGTCCATCTAAAGTTATGCTGTCAAAACTAAGAACAACTTCCTCTGGTCCAAGAACAGCTTCTTAGTGGTAAAAAGCTATAGAATCAATGGGAAGCTGAAGAACATAGGAATCAGAACACGGACTTTTGGAGTCAGGTAGACCTAAGTTAAGATTTTGTCTGCACCAATTATAAGCACTGTTAATAGTGGTTCTGTTACCTTTCCTGGGTCTCGGTTTATCTACTACAAAAGGAGGTAGTAATATTCCCCTCTCAAGTGTTGAAAATAAAGCAATCTGTTAAAAAAAAAATCCTTATTATAGTACCCAGCACAGAGAAGACGTTCCATAAATTGTACCACTGAGATGAGTGGGACATATTTGACGTGACTTGACCTTTTGAGTGACTTGGCATAGCATAGATTTAGACAAAACCCTCTTGCCATGGGGGACTCTGCTATCCTGAAAAACCAGAGGTACCCCCTTGTGCTTGGAATTACAGGAATCGTGGACTCCTGTTTTTACATTTAAAAAAAAATGGTGTGTTTCCAATAACTCAAATCCCTTGAGTCTTCTCAGTATTTTCTTAGAATGGGGATGATTTGTTTCCAGACACATACTTTTTGTTTATTTATGCAGCACAGTTCATTTAAGCAGGGTTGCATGTGCTTGGGGCAGAAACTCGAGAGTCAAACTTCTTGAGTTTGAATCCCAGCCCCACTCACGTAATTTCTCTATATCTCTGTTATTAATAAATGGCAGCTATCTCAAAAGATGTTATAAGGATCAACTGATATAATAGTTACAAGTCTCTTATGATAGTGTCTGCTGATTATTTCAGAACAGTGATCCTAAATCTGGTTTGCCAGAATCCTGAAGGGTCATGGGCATCTTTAAAAATTATTTTACATTTTGTAAGATGCTTATTAAATAAAAACTCATGTATTCAGTTATTCAGCATTTAATAAACGTCTACTAGGATCTGGCCCTCTTGATCTCTTTCTCTTCCACTAAAATGACCATTAGCTGATATGTTACTGGTTTGCTGAGAAGGGAACTAGCATAAGAGCCACTATATAACTTGGCTATGGACATGTTTGACCTTCTTGCATGACCTTATCAGGTTATAGCTTGCAGGAAGTACTGCTTACTGAGAAATTCAATTAAAGCTTGGTTAAGCCACTGAACCCAGAACTTATCATTAGAAAAACATTCTGAAAGAGCAGCAAGTAATTGCTGTGTATTTTATGGGCAAGTTATTGTTTAGAAATGCCATATTCAGTAAATTTGTTAGAGAAACAAGCTAATTGGAAGAGACTATATTTGTAAGATCTTAATTATGACCTTAAAAAAAAACTCTTTAAAAAATATCCCTCTCACACATGCAATTAAATGTGATTTTCCCCTCCAGTTCCTTTCCTATGTGTAAGAGACTTTTGATATTTCAAGATCTTTCTAAGGTCTCTTCCTGTGATTTTGACCTTGTGACAAAGATGCCTGGCTATCTTGCAGGAAGCAATTTTCCCTCATACATCCTTGGGGTCCTTTTGCAATAGATGCCATTAGATATCTTTTCTCTTTTGCTTGCCTTGAGCCTTACCTTTCAATTGATGGCTGTGGCTGAGCTAGTTTTTGTTGTAGTTGTTTCAAGCATTATATCAGTTATAATGTTGGCATTAAAGGATCTCCTTACTTGTGCAATATAGGCTTTGTGGGAATTAACTACCTTGCTCCTGTCAAACATAACCTATAGAATGGCCTGGCAAATAGATCCTATGTTTAAAAGATAAAAACAGAACAAAATAAACAAAGCCAAGAAAACCAACCGAGGTTACAGAGAAATCTGTTTAAGAAGCAGAATTTCATCTTTTTGAGGTTTATGTGATTGTATATGCCACCACCATCTCTTTTGTTTTGAATGAGTCTGAAGGGTTGAATTTGCATTGTTAATGCTAAAGGACTAAATTTCACAACATGTATTTTCAGTTTGGAAGTGTCCTCCAACAAACTTCTTATGCACATTTGAAGCATCTAACGTGATTCAGAGAATACTTTGGACAGTCCCCAAATCACCAAGCCTTTAGCTTCTTGAGCATTGCTCAGACAAGTCTTGGGTTGGTCAAAGGGAACCTGCTCTATTGGGGTATATCCTAAGTCTATGTTGATAAAGAGTTGACAGACTGAGGAAAGTGAACATCCCCCTAGGAGATTTGTTGCTGTCTGGTCACTGCACTTTATGACAACCACAGAGAAAGGGCCACTTACAGGACAGTGGAGGACATGGCGTCCCTCGAGCATCAGATAAAGGAGCTGGAAAGGATAAGACTCACTGTGTTTTGGAAGGATGTGGTTGGAGAGGTGATGAATAAAGGAGCCTCAACTTATCTGTGGCCACGTTGAGTAGCAGAGTCAGAACTGGTGGGTGGAAGTTAGAGAGAGAGAGAGAGAGGAATCCTGTTGAATCACATTTATCGAGCCCTCTACATGTTAGGCATTGGTCTATGAACTTTCACACCCATTACCAGGTTGGATCATATTAAATAGTGTAATTTTTAAATAATTTGCAAGAGAATTGGGGCATTTTGAGGGCCCTACAATGGGATGGGAAGTCCTGGGGATTTTGAATTCCTTGTCATAGTATTATTTAAGTGCTTGGGAAGGCTGCGAAGGGAATTTTACCATCCCCTCTCTTTCAAGCTCGGAATCTAAAACTTTAACTAAGTTTTGGTAATTGCTGTCATCTCTGTTTATTTATATTAGCCATATTGTTAATGTTCAAGTGCTGACAGGTTTTCAACCAAGCAAAGAAAGTGAAATTACTTGTGAACACAGTGGGATACAGCTTAATTAAAAAAAAAAAAAATTAAAGGAACTGCGCCCTTTATTAATTCCAGTTAATGACAACAGTGTTAGTTTCTTCAAACAAGAAATGGTAGAGATTCTTCAAAGTCTTGCACTGTTTACCTTGTTGTTTTGTTTTTCCAGCTGCGATGAAGGCTACACTGGGGCGAGATGTGAGAGAGTTGACTTGTTTTACCTCAGAGGAGATAGAGGGCAGATTTTGGTTATTTGTTTGATAGCAGTTATGGTCATTTTTATCATTTTGGTGGTCGGTGTCTGCGCATGCTGTCAGTAAGTTTTTTTTAACTTTACTTTTAAGTAAATCTGAGAAATTGTATGTTGCTGTGTCTTCTTCTTTCCTTCCTCCTTCTTCTTTCCATTTTGCTATGATTTAAATAAATCACATTTTGAGGTTTGCCATTATTTTTGTTGAAGTATCTACTTATGATAAAACACACAATGCATAGTTTTTGTCATTTTACTGAGCATGAATATTATAATTAAAAATAAAGTGTGTTTAAATCTCTTGATTGAAAAAAAAAAAAGTGGACCAAAAGTGTGAAGGTGATCAAAGGTATACACTTCCGGTTGTAAGATAAGTAAGTCCCTGGGATGTCAGTATGGTATAGCAACTGTAGTTAACAATACTCCATTGTGTATGTAAGGCAGACATTCAACAGACTGAGCTACCCAGGAACCCCTTCTTAACATATTTAATCTGGCATTTTATTTTCTGTAAAACAGGATGATTAAACCAGATAATCTGTATGACTTCTTTTAGCTATAAAATGGAAAGTTATTTAAAAATTTCTTTTACTTGCCTAATGGCAAAACGGAGTTTTTATAACACCAGTTTTGGGGCAGAGCTGAGAAATGGCCTATTTTAGCACATCGATTTGGAATTATGCTTTAAGAAACTGGGCTGCAGTCCAGAGTATCTAACACTTTTTTTTTTTAATGTATCGGTAAGTGTAATTAACATATCCAGAGGCCACTCTCACTCTCTTGGTTTTCTTATGTCTCTTTCCAATTTGTCCTATTTCTTACTCATGCACTAAATAGTGCTTATTAGTAAAATAACTGGTCCTGGAAATTTTGCTTGTGCTAACCAAGCTTCATCAACAACTAGGTACCATAGTATTTGTATTTAGGTAACTCTATTCACATGTTGGCCAACTGTGGCTATCATTTGGGCCTGGAGAGAGATAGGTTGAGAGAGAACCTAACATATTTAAGAAAAAAAGGACCCTACAAATTTTTAGCCATCTAGAAATAAGATCATAGGCCCGCTTGATGGTTGATTATATGTTCCCATGAACTAACAGGCTTGTGCTAATGTCTGACACTTTGTTTTCCAAGTCCTCTTCAGAAGCGTCGTAAAAGAAGGAAGAAGGAAGAAGAAATGGAAACTCTGGGTAAAGATATAACTCCAATAAATGAAGATATTCAAGAGACTAGTATTGCTTAATGGTAAGTGTGATGAATTTGGTAGATGGGATGCTTTTCAGGTAACTGTTACCTGGTGAAATGGGGCTTAATTTGTCTAATAAATCAATGATTGGAATTTGATTGTGCTTAGAAACAGCTAAAAGTAAATTGATTTTTTTCATAGAATCTGAAGCTGAATAAAAGACTTTCTCATTTCTCTCTTTTGCATGTTACCGCATTGAGAGACATGTGGAATGAGGACTTTCCTACACTTTTTCTGGTGTTCTGAGATCATCCTCTTTTCTAATTCTGCATGGTTGTAGCAGTTAGTTTACACTTTTTCTTCCTCATTTTTGGGTGCTGGGAAGAGGGATTTTAGTTTAATAATCTCACATTAAAAACTAATAACCATGTTTTAATAATAACCACATTTACTGAGCATTTATGCTATGCCGGACACTGTTCTAAGCTCTTTAAATGTTACATCAATTAGGATCCCACCTGGATCCAAGAAGGAGATTTTGATGAGGGACTGGGAGGGCAGGGTTGGGGAAACCACAGGAACTTCAAGGCTCCTGGAATTTTAACACTGGCAGGAGGCTGCTCCCTCCCATGCCTGGAAGGGCTGGGGAAGGTTACTTTGGCACTCAGAGGCTGGCCACCAGAGGGCCTATACTCTGTAGGAGCTATATCTGAGGATGGAAGTAGCCACTGCTGGAACCAAAACAAGGAAGAGGAGGAAAGGCAGAAAAAACACCCCCCAACTTTCTCACCTCCTGCCTTTAGGTCTCCCTAAAGTGCCTCCCATTAGCCAAACCCAAGCAGCACCCAGGAGACAAGGGAGCCCTGGTGATGTGTCAGGCCCCTCCCCTTGGAGTGCAGAGTTGGGGAGGGAGGTGGGCAGAGAAAGGTTCCTAGGGTACAAAAGGAGGAGGGCTAATACCATTGGTGAGCTGGAATAGTTTGGCTGTGTTAGAGGCAAATCCAATCTGACTTAAAATGAAGGACATGTTTTGGCTCACATGAACTGGCAGTCCAGAGGGAAGATAGTCTGCACACTTGGGTGAACAAGAGGCTCTCACACCAGGAAACATTATTTCTCTCTCTTTTTATTCTCACATATCAAAGAGTTGGCTTCATCCTTGGCTAGTTCCTCTTAAGTCATAGTGGTAGCAGTGAGCCACGTGCTTCCTTGGTCACCTCCAGCAAGAGAGAGCAGTGACTCTCCATAGCTCAGGTAGCAGTAGAAAGAATCTCTTTTCCCAGAAACACCCAGCAGATGCATGGGTTATAGCAACTGCTTGTCGAGAAATCGTAATGTTCTCCTAGCTTATTACAGGATGACAGTAATCGTTAATGAACTGAAGACAAAAATGCTGGCTCTAGATTTTTCTTTTTTAATGTCCATAGTACATTTCTCTTAACCAGCTTGCTGTCTTTTCCCTTATTCCTGCAGGCTATGAAGTTACCTCCAGGCTGGTGGCAAGCTTCAAGATGCCTTGCTCATTAGGAAATGGACAGAATGTGTCTCAGGAAAAGAGCCAGGAGAAATGAATTTTAAATGATGTATTTACTTTTTGTCTGTAATGTTAGTCTGTGCTTTTTACTATTTTTATAATAATAAGTAATTTTACTATTGTTCAGTAATTGGGAAAAAGCACTCAGTTAAGAAATTTTAATAAAAGTCCACTTAAAGTTTTGTTACCAGTATTACCAGTCAAACAAAAAAAGAGAGTGAGAAAGAGTTTAGATTTTAGGAACTGCATTAAAAATAAAGCTGCCATTTATCCAGCACATACTGTGGACCAAGAGTTTAAAGTATATCATTTCCTTTAATCCTTTTAAGAACCTATGAATATCTCCTATGAACCTCATTTCCCATATATGGGAACAGACACAAAGAAGTTAAATAACACAACCCGGATTTACAGAGGTAGGAATTGGTGGAGCTGAAATTGGAACCAAGATATATCCAACTTCAGTTTGGGTTCTTAACTATGATTTTTGTTGATCAGAGTGGGTACAACCCAACTCACTAATATAACCCAAGACTTCATACTACATTATGTTTTGCCATGACTCTGAGATGCTGGGGATATTTTCCTGGAGAAACTCAGGTTGGAGAGTCCTGGCTGTATATGTTAATATTACCATCATGTTTTCTGCAGCACTGACTTCTTTTATATTCCTTTGCTCCTTTATAAATTCTCTGCGGCATGAATAAATTCTTGCATTAGTAAAGCAAACAGATTTGCCCTCATAGCTAGGGTAATGAATAAAGATGGAAAGTAAATGCTTGAGCATCTTTAAGCCCAGGTAAGTGTTCATGCTAACTAAGGGATAAATTATAGCACTGGAAGAAGAGGCTGTTTATTCCTGGGCAATGGTCAGTGACACCCCAACAGAGCCCAGGCACACACTGTCTGTGACCATAGCCTCATTTTTGTTCTTCCAAAAATCAGTACCTGTGATTGCTCTCAAGTGGCTGTTGATGCAATGAAATCATGACCGTGAGCATCTGTTACTTGGGACCGTCCTGCCAAATGTTCCTTCAACTCCATAGTATATTTAATAAAGACTCTTAAAACTGAAAAAGCTAAATCTATATTTAGCCAGTATTCCACAGAATATGAAAATGTCTACACTGACTGGGTGGGTGATTTATGAAAACTGATGGAAGGTGTCCCCCACTTGCTGTACTTCTGCTGTTGTGAAGCTAGCTAAGCAGGTTTTATTCCAGAATCCTAGCAGATTTTACTCTGCAGTATAGACTTCATACACAAAGTGAAGAGGAGAATTCAGACTGAAGATGAAGTTGGATGTCACTTTCTAGCACATATCGTGTTTTGAGTGAGAATGAGGTTGTCTTCACAGAAATAGCTCAAATATATGAAGAGCTAAGCCAAACAACTAGTTATCTTCTGAATCTGTTTTTCCTTCTGACTTAATAACCATCCTTGAAACAGGACTATATCCATTGGATTCCTGCTGCGCATGCTTTGTTTTCAAAAGTCTTCTGGGCTCATCTATGCCCTTGCTTTTTCTCGGTGTACTTTGATACCAAAGTGCTTGAAACAAACGGTTGTTACAGCATTTAAAAACAAAACAAAATGCTGAAAATGTTTCTTCTTCCCTGAACTGATGTTGGTTGACCAGTGGAAACTCTCAAATCAAGTCAGGCTTGGGAATTTTGTTTTGATCCTAAGATGTAAATGGCGTCTCTTAAAATTTGGTAGGTCTGATATGAAGAAAGAACTTCAAAGATTTTCATATCTTTTAAAAATGTATTTTATAATTGTTTTGTATAGTCTAAATGATGTTGTTTATGTAAACTGTCAACATTATCATATAATAAAGTAAATTTATTTTTAAAACAAAGTGAGCATATTTATTTGGAAGTTTTTTTTATCAGTACCATGAATTATTAAGAGAAAGAAATTTGCAGATTATTGTTTTAAAAATGTTTATATTTTATAGAGATTACAATTCATGCATTTGAAATAATCTATTTTGGTTATAGGTTTTTCTTAGAAACTAATGAATTTGGAAGTGTGGTGGGCACCTGTAAGATTGTCTGTCCAGCTAGGGAGGGTATGTGCTATGGTGAGTGCTGTGAAGTGTGTAAGCCTGACAACTCACAGACCTGTACCCCTGCAGTAAATAATACATTTTATGTTAATAAAAAATTAAAAAAAAAAAGATTGTCCAACAGTATGGCCATATTTTTGAACTCCCACCTATAGCTGCATTTGGTTGGTCTAAGGTGAGTACTTCATGCAGTTGGGTGAATTGGAATCATTCCCAAGGGGACTGTGAACCTGAACAGAAGTTAATCTTTCTGGGTTCTTAGGACATAAAAATGCGGATTTTGAAGCTATTGTGGCCATGTTTTGCTTCACGTGTCCCAGAAAAGCAAAAGAAGCTGGTCAGAGGAGAACAGAGACAAGACTCAAGTTTTCTGACAGTCTGAGTCCCTGTTATGTGTAATTCTAAAACTAGCCTCATTCTATTCCTGTCTGTGGGCTCTATGAGACATATTATCATTACATTAAATACTTCATCTGGCTTAAGCTAGTTCTATTCGGATTTTCTGGAACCTGGAACAAAGGTCCTGACCAACTCTGGTGCATCATGAGATTGTGGAGAAGTTTCCTCTCTCTCTCTCTCTCTTTTTTAAGATTTTATTTATTTATTTGAGAAAGAGAGTGAGAGAGAACATAAGCAGGGAGCAGGAAGGGGGAGGGGCAGGGAGGGGCAGGGAGCAAGAAGGTGGAGGGATAGGCAGAGGCAGGTTCCCCACTAAGGAGGGAGCCTGATGTGGGGCTCAATCCCAGGACCCTGGACTCATGAGCTAAGCTGAAGGCAGATGCTCAACAGACTGAGCCACCCAGGTATCCTCGGAGTTTTTAAAATCAGAAATGACATCCTCTATGAAACAGAATGTCAAGTTATGTTTTTCAAATAGTGTCTACCATTGTAGGAGAGGAACACTTCTATCAACTGTATTCCATCTTCACCATATGGCCATTCTAAAGGATGGTTGCAGGGAACATGGAATTCAGCAAGCATTGTTTGCATACCTACTGTTCTAGGCACTGTGCCACCCACCATGACAAATGCTAGGCAGGAATGAGACATGGCCCCAAGGAAGCTTGCAGTCTGGTGGGAAAGGCAGCTACTCACTGATCATTTCAGTTCAATTTGTTGCTCTGGGAGAGGTTGCAGGTAAATGAGATATGAGAAGAGGATGACTAAATCAGCTTAGAAGGCATTGCAGAAGGCTCCTGAAGGATATTACATCTGAACTGATGACTGTTCCTGAGAAATAAAGGTCTCTGCCCCTGGGGCAGGCTGGATAGTTCTTGGATCCTTGTTAAATTCTATAGAACTCCTTGGGAAGCTCTAGCAGTGGAGGAACAGGGACTGAGAGAAAAGAACAAATCAACGCTCTCTGCTTCATTCCAGAATGCTCTGGGCACGATATGATGAAGTACATGAACATATGAGCTGACAGGTGAGATGTTCCTGGTTCCAATGATATTATATTATTAAGTGAATGGGATTTCCTTCCTGAAGTGGATTATGTGGGTCTCTCACATTTCCCACTTCATATCATTGCCTGTGGAGTAGGCAAGTTACACAGAGAATGGGATAAAATGCTCTGGGTCACATATATCCTGTTATTTGGACAAGGCTCTGGTTAGTGCAAAATTTTGTGAAGGAAGTCCAGGACACATTTGTGTCATGGATTTAAAACCAAGCTGATGTCTCAATGAGACCTGCATATATTTTGTTATGAGAGCCTAAACACATAGGGGCATTGCTGTCATTCATTCAAAAATATTTAGTAAGTGCCTACTAAGTGCCAAGTGTCTTAGTGCTGGGCTTACATCAGTGAAGAATATGGTTAAAAACAATCTGTGACCTCATGGAGCTTATATTCCAGTGAGTATAATCTTTCACAGCATGGAGTTTAAAACAAGGCATACCCAAGAAGTTATGATATCCAGAGGATGTTACCATTAATTAGAATTTTAATCTGTGCCACAGGCTTGGAGCATGAAACTCAAGAGGAGGACTCACAGAATAAGTCATTTTTTGGAAGGATTAGCAGATTTCCCTTGATCTCCAAATAATTTACCTATTTTAGTAGTGACTATTAAGAGCAAAAAAAGTATAACCCTGTTTCTTTGGTATAAAAATCTTGGCTTATGCTTTTTTTTTTTTTTTGTCATGGTTAATGAATAGGGTGCTACATCTGGGCATCTGTTCTTCTTCAAAGAATCATCTATGCTTCAAATAATCTTCCTGAAAAAGAACCTGTTCCCATGTGATCATCTTTGGCAAGCTGAGTGTTAATGCCGAACATAACGTGCAAGTACTTTATTCTTGCCTGTTTGCTAACGTTACTAAGTCTTGGGAATGTGTATCTTATAATAACATCTAGTTGGCACTTCTGTAAACCAATTCTCCCCCAGGGCCTTTTAGCTATTGGTGTTTGAAGTCATCTGAAATTCTGTATTAGGAAACTAAATAAACTGTATAACTTCAAAAACTATGTCAGCAATTATTTTGGGGAGCTAAGTTAGGAGGAATGTTTCTGCTATTGGAAATTTCAGCGTGGATCTCCAGGTATGTTTAGTCAACAGTTCCAGTCAGAACTTGTATTATAAAAACAATGGTAACCAGACATTTTTTAAAGACTTTCTCCGTGTTTTACTTCGCTTTCTCAAGCTTAAGTTACACAAAAGTAAATGTGCAACAGAGGTACCTCAAAAGCAGTCTTCTTTTTTCTTCTCCTTTGGTCTATTTAAAAGAAGTCAAACAAACAAAATTCTTCACAAATACAGATCTCCTTAATATCACTCACTGCGGCAAGTGTAATTATTTTTGTAAGATGTGTGCAGAATAATAAAATATTCCAAAACTCTATGAGCCAAGCTGGGGCTGACAATTTTTAATGTGCTGGGTTTTAGTAATAAGTGAGAAAGAACCTTTCTTTGACTTACC